CTTTCTTTCTTTCTTTCTTTCTTTCTTTCTTTCTTTCTTTCTTTCTTTCTTTCTTTCTTTCTTTCTTTCTGTCCTGGGGCTTGAACTCTGGGCCTAGGTCCTGTCCCTGAGCCCTTCAATTCAAGGCTAGTATTCTATCATTTTAAGCCACAGCACTACTTTTGGTTCTCTGGTGGTTAATTGGAAATAAGAGTCTCAAGGCCTTTCTTGCCTGGGCTGGCTTTAAACTGCAATCCTCAGATCTCAGCTTCCTGAGTAGCTAGGATTACAAGCATGAGCCACTGGTGCCTGGACTTTTCTTTTCTTTTCTTTTTTTGTACTGAGATTTGAACTCAGGGTCTATTTGCTAGGTAAGCACTCAAACACCCAAGCCTTTAATTAGGTTATATATACATGTTATATTTGAGCTGTAAGTTACATAGTCAGGATAGTAGACTTTATCAGTATATGATTTGCAAAGATTTTTTTCCCCATTCTATGAATAAGTTTTCTCCTGTTTCTGGGGGTGGTGGTAATACTGGGGTTTGAACTCAGGACCTCAAGTTTTCTAGGAAGTCTACATTTGAGCCATGCCCCAAGCCCCAACACCCTCCCTAAAGCAGCTCTTACTCTGTCAACCACCTGCCCAGGGGCGATGAGCAGCTCTCTGGCCAGTGTGTTGATATGCAGGGTATACCGAATGTGGGGGACCAGCAGCTGTAAGGAGAAGAGGGAAGAGCTGGGGCAGTTCACACCTGCCCTCCAGTGGCACCTACTCTACAGGTCCCTTGGAATGAGGCACAAAGGGTCTGAGGGATCAGCTCAAACAAGGGTCTGTGTTCTAGGCCCAGGGACAGGGCTGAGTTCTGTGCCCTTTGACAGGCTCTTTCCTTTCCGTGGACACCAGATCATTTTGTCAAATGGGGGTATTGATTTGGGTGGGCACTGGGAGCTTCTGACTCCACATCCCATTAGTTCTTATCTCTGGATCAGGCATTGCACCATGAAAAACCAAGGCCTGTGGGCCTGGCAATGCGGAACCATTCTTTAGAGTCCACCTGTGATTAGCAGGTGCTTGGATGAGTATAGATGCATCCAGAAGCCCCAGGAGAAGAGACCTCACCCCTCTCACAGGGGGTGTCTCAAGAACATGTTATCCAAAAGCTCAGCAGAGCCCAGATGTCCACCCCCAGAGCACCTGTGTCTCCCACCTAAGGACAATATACAGGAAATTGGTTGGGTCCCTCAAAGACACATTTCCCTTTGCTTTTTGCCAGCCCCAGGCCTCTCCTTTCTTAGGATTTGGGCTTCTTTTCTTTCTGAGGGAGAAAGCTCCTCTGGAACATGGTGTCCACCTTGCCCTGGCTCGGGGCCTGCTCTCAGAATTGACACAGGGAGACACAGCAGGTTGGGAGTCTGCATGGCAGCCTGGATGGACACGGATATCTGGGGAAAGGCCACTCCGAAGAGGTAGTGTGAGGGGCAACACAGGGCTCTGGGATCTGCCCACGTGGAGTGGAGTGTGGACCACCTTGCAGAAGCACTGACCTTGAAGAGGGGATGGCAGTGGGGCAGCTGTCGTAGTGTGGCCATGGCAAAGACCTCTGGCAGCAGATGAGCATGCAGCAGGTGGGTGAGGGCCTCGTGCACAGAAAACTCCGCATAGCGTACCCAGGTCTTGGCCAGAAGCCAATCCCACTTGTCATCACTGGGCAGGAAGATGGGGCTGTTGGGTCCGGGAGTCTGGCTGAGCTGGTAGGGGAGGTCAGTGAAGAGGGAGGCAGTCATGAGTGTCTACCAACCATTTGGTATGATGTTGCCCACACCTGTCCCCTGTTCAGTTACAGACCTGGATGGCAAGGGGCAGCAGGGGCCCGTGTCCTGGGCATTGGTATAACAGGGTCATTGGGGCTGCAGAGAACTGAGGCTTTCCATTGAGGACATTGGTATGGATGTCAGAGAGGATGGCATGATCCACCAAGAACAAGGAACCCCTCTATAGAAAAGAGAAGATCTAGAGCTTCCACTGGCTTTCTAAAGGATGAGGGGAGGGGTGGCAGGTAGTAGGGAGAAGGGCTCAGGCCTGAGAGGTATGTACATATTGGAAGGGCTGGGCATGTAGCACACAGCAGGTCCCCTCCCTCTGTAGCAGGGGCTGGGCCGGAAGAGGATGAGATGGGGTTTTCAGAGTCCAGAGTCTCTACCCCACCTCCAGCTCAGCCTGCAGGGTGGTCTCCGGGCCCAGAACTGGGGCCACCATGGCATCAGTGACTGGGAAGTTCTCTGGGAGTGAATGACAGCGGCGGATCAGGACAGGGTTAAGGCCATTCAGGAACTGGGAAGCAAAGAAGGCATCTTCCTGCCAGTGCTCATAAATGTATTCTGTAGGAGGGCAGAGGAACAGGGAAGAGTCACCCTGACTCTAGCAGGTCTCCTGACCTTCAGGGTGGAATTCCCTTCTAGATCCATTCTGGATGCTCTATACCTCTTCCAGGGTAATCTCTTCTGGCCCCTTGGTTTCCTTGCCTGTCCCTTTACCAAACAGTAAATCTTAGTCCCCAGTCCACTGTCTCAATGTTGACCTGACAACTCACCCTCATGATTTAACAGTATCAGACAACAAATCAAAAAGCCAGCTTTGGCTCTTCCTCCAGCTCAGGCCCTTTAGGAAATGGCAAATCCATCCACCCCATTGCCCACGGCAATGCCCAGGACCTCTCTTGGTAGCCTACTCTCCCTTTTTCCATCAAGTCTTTTTTTTTGGGGGGGGGTCAATCAAGCCTAAGGCTTGAACTCAGGACTTGGGCACTGTCCCTGAGCTTCTTTTGCTCAAGGCTCGCACTCTACCATTTGAGCCACAGCACCACTTCCAGAGTTTTCTGTTTGTGTGGTACTGAGAAACTGAACCCAGGGCTTTACAGGTGCTAGGCAAGCACTCTACCACTAAGCCATATTCCCAGCCCCGACCATCAAGTCTCTTGAATTCTTCAACCTCAGTGTCTCTTGGTCTACCTGTCCACTCTATCCCTATAGCCAGTGATGTTTCTAAGGTCTCTAGACTCTCTGACCATAACCACAGACTGTGCCAACTTTCTGCTTTCCACTCTTGTCCTTGATCCTTACAGAATACATCTGGCCATATCATTTCCTAGCTGGCCACCAGTGAGTAGTCTCAAATTGTGATAAGGAATACTACACATCTTGCTAAGGCCTACACAGACTAGCACCACCCCGCCAGCTCTCCTGCTTCCCCTCTGATCTTCCTTCCTTCCACCAATTGTTTTGGCCTCAGCCGCATTCTGTCTTTTCCCCAAAGGTATATGATCCTTTTGTCTTCAGACCCTTCATTTTAATTATCCTCTGATCCTGAAACTCTCTGCCCTATACCCTATTTTCACTGCTGTTAATACCTGGTCAACCCAATTGGGAGAGCTTTCTAGAGTCTTTTCCAAGTTGGGGTGAGTCCCTCTTTACACATACCTAGAGCCGATGATTATAGCTCACAAAGGACATTGATATTCTAATCATTCTCTCCTTCTTTGTGCCGGTACTAGAGCTTGAACTCAAGGCCATGAACTCTTCCTTAGCTTTTTCACTCAAGGCTGGGGCTCTACCACTTGAGCCATATACATCTCTAAACTACACACTCTTACGCTTCTGGCTTTTTGGTGGTTAATTGGAGAAAAGAGTTGTCATAGACTCTGGCTTCAAACTGTGATCGTCAGATCTCAGCCTCCTGAGTAGCTAGGATTACAGACATGAGACACCAGAGTCTGGCTCTTCCTTCCATTCTTTCTTTCCTTGTGCATACTGAATACTAGGCAAGTGCTTTACCACTGAGCTACAACCCCAGCCCAACTTAATTTTCTGGTTTTGAATCTCATAACCATTGGCCTGTTCCACTCTGAGCACAAGGACGGTCTCTACAGCCCCAACTCAATGTCTGGTGGGCAGAAGCTCAAGATCTTTTGGATCAGGAGGTAGACTTCCCTCCCAGTACACATCCTCTTTCATCTCTATATGGAATCTAAAGTCTAGGAAAGGACAGGGATCTGCCCAGGATCACACTGGGATCTGGTACCTAGTTTTCAGACTCCTAAAAGCTGTGGGAAGCTGCTGCCTCCAGGGAAGAGGTTAGATCCCTAGCACAGGCTCCTTACCTGCTGCTGGAGTCCTGTGGAAGTTGAACATCCTTCTCATCTCCCTCAGACTCCTCCAGAGCCCTGTGCGGTCCAGTAACCCCTTGAATTTCAGCTCTATAAACCTGCCAATGGATGTGAGAGATGGGGAGAAGGCAAGATGCCCTGGGAGACCCTCCCCTCTCACCCAGTTTTATCCTGGGTGGGGTCCTAAACCAGCTTCCAGAGCTTAATAGCATTCCTAAAGTAGCCACCAGCTGGCAGGAATCGACAGTGACTTGGATCGGGCTGATGGCAAAGGAATTGAGGAGGGGGAAGGCAGAAAGCAGAGGAAGGAGGCATCTGAGGCCAGGGGCAGGGCACGGTGGGCTTCCTCACGCAGATTTGGCTTTGAGGTAGAAGTTGGCATTCTTGACTACAGAATATTTGATGTTGAGGTCCAGCTCTTTGACAGTCATCTGATCGAGGCATTGAGGCCAGCCTTGGATGTAATTCTTCCAGCTAGAGGGCAGGAGAGGTGATGAGTAAGAAGTTCAGAGAGGCTGGACGCCATTGGCTCATGCCTGTACACCTAGCTATTCAGGGGGCTGCAATCTGAGGATCGTGGTTCAATGCCAGCGCATAAGGGGAAAGTTTGTGAGATTCTTTATCACTAATAAACTACCCCTCAGAAGTAGAGCTATGGCTCAATTGGTAGAGTGGTGGTAGCCGAGAGAGAGAGAGAGAGAGAGAGACAGACAGACAGACAGACAGACAGACAGACAGAGACAGAGAGAGAGAGAGAAGCCCCAGAGAGCCCTTAGACAGAGGAGTCCCCTTGGGGTCCCTGGCAGAGCCAGCCCCTTTCTGCCAATAACCATCTCCCTAGCTTCTGCTTTTCCCCATCCACCCACAAGGCTACCAGGGGACTGTAGGTTCCTTCAGGAGGCTTCTCCCTGGTTATGGTTGATTAGTCCAGGGTTGAACACCTGGCCAGAGCTGGGCCAATCAGAGTCATTCACAGGGAATTGAATGTTTGGATTGAGCCACATAGGTGGGCTCTCTCTGGATATCTGGATTATAATATTTGAACACAGAGATAGGTTCGATAGCTGTGGCCATTTTTCACTATCTAGACTGGGAGGAATTATTCAGCCTGGAGTCATCTTGATCTCTAAGATCTGGCTACATTTCCTGCCTTTCCTGTTTGCAAGTTCCCCTTTTATCCTTCTGCTGGTTGTAATTGATTTATGGTTGGGCAACCACACAATTCCTGACAGACACTGATGTATCTTGTAGAGGAAAAGCAGTCCTAAAGTGGGGTTGTATCTTAGGTTTCCATGACTTTGGCAGGCATCTGATAGAGAGGCACACAGCTCGGGAGGCTACAATTTCCTCTGCCCTGGCCTATGGCATCTCTAAATCCCATGATCAAGTAGGTCATACCACCTAAGATCTTTAGGTAAAATGGCCTAATTATGTTCCAGCCAGCTGAAAAGTTCCAGCTAGTCCTCTTCTCATATATTCATTTTTTGGTTCACTCAAAAAATTGCTTGTGGTACAAGGTACTGCTGGCTCATGCCTGTCAACTCTAATCCTAGCTATTCAGAAGGCTGAGCTCTGAGGATTACAGTTCAAAGCCAGCCAGAGCAGTCAAGTCTGTGAGATTCTTATGTCCAGTTGACCACTAAAAAGCCTGAAGTGGAACTATGGCTCAAACCAAAAAAAAAAAAATCAGCTAAGGGACAGTGACCACGAGGCCTTGAGTTCAAGCCCCAGTCACCAGCACTCCCTAACAAAATTGCTTTTGTTTTCCAGGTTTGAATTTTCAACTTCAAAGGATAATTTTCAATTCAAAGACACTGCCACCAGGTGGTGATCAAACCCTACTTCTCAAATACATGGGGCACTTGCTAAAATGCATTCTGACTTAGTAGGTCTAGGATGAGTCCAAGAACCTACATTTTTCTAACAAGTTCCCAGGCAATGCTGATACCTTGGATCAGAGCCTTGCTTTTTTTTTTTTTTTTTTTTTGGACAGTTGTGGTGCTTGAATTCAGGGCCTGGGCACTGTCCCTGAGCTTCTTTTGCTCAAGGCTAGCACTCTACACTTGAACCACAGCACCACTTCCAGCTTTTTCTGCTCATGTGGTACTAAGGAATTGAACCCAGGGCTTCATGCAGGTTAGGCAAGCACTCTACCACTAAGCCACATTTTCAACCCCCGAGGGCTAGAGAGTGAACAGAAATTTAAACAATAAGTAACAGCACACATTTGCATAAGGCTTGGCAGTTGATTAGTTGCATGCTTAAGATTTCCTTATTTGTTTTACCTAATAATCCAAATGACAGTCAGATTTTTTTTTCCCAGAAGAAAGTAACTGGTAGCTGTGTGCTGATGGCTCACACCTGTAATCTTAGCTACTCAGGAGGCTGAGATCTGGGGGTGGAGGTTCAAAGGCAGCCATGGGCAGGAAAGTCTGTGAGATTCTTATCTCCAATTAATCATTAGAAACCAGAAGTGGAGCTGCAGCTCCCAGTGGTAAAGCTCTATTAGCCTTCAGCATCAGGCTCAGAGTTCTAAGCCCAGAACCAACAACAAGAACAACAATAAAAAAAAGAACTGATAAAATAGATGAAATGATTGGCCTAAGATCTTCCAGTTCTTTTTGGCAGGGCCTAGACTGACAGGTTCTGGGTCTTTTTGACCCGCATCTGTTCCATTTCTTGGGGGTAGAGGCTATATTTCATGCAATGGTTTTTATCAGCAGGAACCAAAGGAGTCTATGGCTGCCTTGTCCCCAGAGATTTGGAGGAAAAAAAATAAAGAGCAGATTTAAAAAGAGCAGGATCTCGAAAGTCTGCACTTGAATGTAGTCCCTCAAGAATCCCTTCAGCAGTCCCTGGATTATAACTTCCATCCCGCTGCCAGCACAGCCTAACACCAGACTAGATCTCTATTCCAATTTCCAATCCTAAAGCCAGAGTCCAGAGAGTGCCATTGTCCCACCCTTGCCTTGCTCCTGGGGCTTAGCAGACTTATTTATTTCTGGTTGAAGTGTGATAAACAAAAACAAAAAACAGGGCAAAAAAGAAGCTGGTAAAGGAAAGGCATTTAGAGCAGCGTTTTTCAACCTTCAGCAGGCACCAGGGCCATCTGAAAAGCTAAAGTCTGAGTCAGAAGGTTGTCAGAATCTACATTTCTACTAGGTACCTTTTTGGGGGGAGAGGGGGGGATACTGAGGCTTGAACTCAGGGCCTGGGTGCTGTCTCTTAGTTTTTGTTGCTCAAGATTGGTGCTCTACCACTTGAACCACAACTCCACTCCTAGATTTCTGGTGGTTAACTGGAGATAAGAAGCTCATGGACTTTCCTGCCCTGTCTGGCTTTGAACTGCTCAAGAGCTGGGATTACAGAAGTGAGCCACCATGCTCTTGATGTCTGTGGGTTCCCTTCCTGCCCTTGACAGTAGCCCTCCTCACCTGTACATGGCCCTCCGGACCTCCAGCTCCTTTTGGCGCTGCTGCTGGAGCGTGGGGTGGCGGTCTGCCCAGGAGACCTTGGCTGTGGGAGGAGGAGAGGAGATGGGGAGAGGGTAGGAGACCCCCCCCACCACTGCTTTCTCTTGGCACTGTGCCGCCCCCCCCACCCCCGTGCCCTCACCTGTCCCCTCCCGCAGCACCAGGTGCCCCGCCCCCTCCAGCCACTGGTAGCAGGGGAAGCGGAGCGCAGCGCCCTGGGGCAGCTCGAGCTGGAACCAGCGGCAGAACCAGGCGTCCGGGGCAGGCGGGCAGAGCAGGGGCTGAGCCGGCAGAGTCTTGTGTGCGCGCAGCAGCAGCACCTGCCCCACGTCCTGCGGGAGGGTCACCTCGAAGTCCTCCTCCTGGAAGAGGAAGTTCGCTCTAGCCGAGGCCGTGCGTCCCCTCGGGCACCCCCCCCCCCCCGCCCCACCTCCATTCCCAGCCCCGCGCCCCGCACACTCACGGCGCCCGCAGAGAACTCCCTGCCGAGGCGATCCAGAGGCAGGAGGGCGCTCTCTCCCTCCGTCCCCACGAGGCTGACAGACACCTTGTCCCACGTCCCAGCCCCGCAGGCCTCGCCGGTGGACACTCGCACTCTGAACTTGGCCATGATGCCAACCGCGCCTGGCTGTCTACTGGACGCAGGCTGGATGGGCTGGGTGGTGAGTCGGGATGCGCAAGCCTGCTCCTGCGGGGAAGGGCAGGCCTGCAGGGGACAGGGGAGGGGCTGGGCTGAGCAGAGGAGGCAGGGCTGAGCAGGGAGGGGCTGGGCTGGGGGGGTGGGAGGGGTGGGCGGTGAGACTGAGGCCTGGCTGGAATTGACCCAGGCCTTCTGCGCAGGGCCACACTGCTGTAACTCACATACCAACTAGCTTATTCTAGTTGACAACTTTGTTTTTGGTCGGTGATGGGGCTTGAACTCTCCTCTACCACTGGAGCCACAGCACCACTCCTGGCTTTTTTTCTGAGTGGTTTATTGGAGATGAGAGTCTCATGGCCTTTCCTATCCGACTTGGTTTCCAACTGTGATCCTCAGGTCTTAGCCTCCTGAGTAGTTAGGATTACAGGCGTGAGCCACCTGGCTGGTTTTTTCCCCCCTTTCCTTTCTTTTTTCCCCCTCCCTCTTTCTTTCTTTCTTTCTTTCCTTTTTTTTAATAACAAATTTTGACAACCAACTCTGTTCCAGGACTCTGAGAGGTTCTGTGAATACAAGCGGAGGCAAGACCAGATCTTTATCCTTATGTAGATTTAAAAAAAATCAAGCTTGAGAAAAAAGATAAATATTCAAATACCGATTTTAAAAAATCAAGCATGACAAAAAAAGATAAATATTCAAATACTGATTGTTTAGTGTCAGATAATGCTGAATTTAAGGAAGGAAATCAAATGGGCTGATTTGGAAAGTTGGGGTAGGGAAGGCCCCAATCAGCCCAGAGGACATGACCTGTGAACTAAGAAAGGAAGACAGTTTTGTGTCCATACTAAAGCCCTGGATTTAGGAAGTGTTTGGGTTGTTGGAAGAGGGAAAGGCAAGGATGTAATAAGGGAGGGAGGGAAGGAAGGAAAGGGAAGGGGAGGAGAGGAGAGGAAGAAAGAGGAGATCTATCAATAGAGTAGAAGATAGGAGTTTTGACTTTGGTAGTTTTGTCTAGAAATGCTAAGTTTGAGATGCCTATTAGGCATTCGAGTGGAAAAACCACCTCTGAATTTAGCAGTCAGGTTTGGAGAGTTCGTACATGTGAATCAGTAGCCTGTCTAAGCCACAGATTAATAGAGATCATTAAGCAGAGAACAGGTAGGAAAGAGAAGAGGATGCCAGCTGTGCCCTGAGGTCTTCTGAAGTCTGGATGTTTAAAAACGCCAAGGAGGCTGAAGCAGCAAAGATTGGTCACTTTCCTGTTACGATAACAAATACTTGAGATACTTAGCTTATGAAGTAAAATGGGTTGTGCGCTTGGTCCATGATGGACTGGCGACATTGTTTGGGACCATCATAGCAGGAGGACTTGGTAGAGCAAAGCTTACATCATAGCCAGGGAGGGGGACCAAGAAAAAAAGGTAAGGAGAGGGCTGGAATCCCATAATCCCCTCCAATGGCACACCCATAATATTCTATAGACATTCCACTACCTCATTGAAAAGTTTCACCATGGCTCAGAGGCACCTCCCAGGGGACCCAAGCCTTTCACATGTGGGCCTCTGGGGGCCAAATTAGAGCAGAGAGGTAGGAGGACCAGGAAAGGGCGGCTCAAGAAAACCAAGAAGAGATTGGGCAATTGTGTTGCTAAAGAGCTGAACAAGAAGAAGATAATGAAACATCACTTTGCCATCAAGATCTTGGCGTTTGCATTACAACTGATGAATACAATTGAAGAAATCAATTTACTTCTGAGCAACTGAGTTCAGAACCCAAAAATCTCACTGTGGTCCTGGGGACCTTACCCAGAGCTGTTTCAGAGGAGTGGATGGGGTGGAAGCCAGATTAGAGTGGGTTACAGAGTGATTGGGGACAGAATAATACACACACACACACACACACACACACACACACACACACACACATCTACCTTTGAAATCTCCTAAAATAATGAAGTACCAGGATTAAAGCATAAACCTAAAGTCAGGTGCCAGAAGTTCACACCTGTAATCCTAGCTACTCAGGAGGCTAAGATATGAGGACTGCAATTCAAAGCCAGCTCAGGCAAGAAAGTTCATGAGGCTCTTATTTCCAATTAACCACTCAAAAGTCAGAAGTGAAGCTGTGGCTCAAGTGGTATGTGCTAGCCTTATGCAAAAAAGTCAAGTGAGAGTGTCCCAGTACTACCACAAAAGCAAAACACAAAAACAGCAAACCAACAAACCATAACTCTACAACAACAACAACAACGTAGAGTATTATGGTGATATGGCTGATTTAATAAACAAAAGAAAGGTAAAAAGCTTAGAAGTAGGTCAGTTTGCATCTCAGAATGCCCCCAAATCTTAGGAATTGGGAGATGGACACCTCTGAGAAGGGTATGTAGGCAACACTGGCAAGTTTATGTTAAATGTAATTGAGACCTCTCCCCCACCCCCATCTCCATTCCCTCAGAACCTCTCAAAACTAGTAGGTGAGGATCCTTCTCCAACCTGAGAGTCAATAGGAGACTTATTTTCTAGAAAGGTTGAATTAGAATGAATCTGGACTTGGGAGTACCAATTAGAGCTGAAGTTGGTATAAAAAAATCTTCAAATCGGAACCCATTTTCCTGTGTGGACTGTTTGATCCCCTATTTATAATTCTTTTTTTTGGGGGGGTCCAGTCGTGGGGCCTGAACTCTGGGCCTGGGCGCTGTCCCTCAGCTCTTCAGCTCAGGGTTAGCGCTCTACCACTTGAGCCACAGCGCCACTTCTGGCTTTTTTCTTTTTGCTTATGTGGTGCTGAGGAATCGAACCCAGGGCCTCATGCATGCAAG